CAGGAAGTGAGAAGCCCATTTGGGTCCCCGAATGGTGCATCAGGCATGTCGACCCCAATACTACTCCGGATACTAGGAATGCTCACCATGATAAAGATAGTCCAATCATCGCTGAACACTCAGGTAAGGGAAGTATGGGCGCTGGTGAGGATCCCCCCCCATTTTGATGCCAGTTAGTCATTCCAGCTCCCTGTTCATCGATTTTTATAGCACCAATAATACATTGGGAGTGGCTGCTGCCAATGAGAGATTGAAAAGTCAGAAACTAAACATTCTGAGTTTCCCCCTCCTAAAGGGGAATCTCTGTTTTATTAAAAATATTTAATATCTCCTAGATTAAATCTCTAGGCCACGGCCTGACACAAAGGTCAGGAAAGAAAGAGGAACCTGAGAGATCACCCTCAGTTGGAGGGTGGATTGTGTAAATCTTAAGGCTTTTGCCTGAGGGAACATCCTCAGTTGGAGGATGGATTGAAAATGGGTGAATAGCTGGGCGTTGGTAGCACACGCCTTTAATCCCAGCACTTGGGAGGCAGAGGCAGGCAGATTTCTGTGAGTTCAAGGCCAGCCTGGTCTATAGAGCAAGTTCCAGGACAGACTCCAAACAATACAGAGAAACCCTGTCTCGAAAACAAATGGGTGAATCAAAAAAATTGGTAACCGTAAACGAGGTACTGGTATTAAGTAAAGAAAAAGAAAAAGACAAAGGTATATGTAATGGAAAAAGTTTGTTTGCATTTAAGGTCAATTTTGTGAGTCATCTCTAAGGTCAATTTTGTGAGTCATCTTTAAAAATTTTTGGCCAAAAGCCTGGCCTCTCCACCTTGCATCTACAGAGTTACAAGCAGTAGGTACAGCTGTATCCCCTGACTGTAGCTCAAATGGAGGAATGATGAGGGGCATACAGGACTTTTTAACCTTTTTAGTTCAAGGATTGGCTGGAGTTGTTCTTTTACATAGATTTTAATAAAGGAAGTTTCATTTCAACAGATTAATCATGACCTAGGGAAAAAGGATGACCGAAAGATGTATGTATGTTCTGAATGTATGGTGTGGCCACACTGGTATATATGAAACGTGATTGTGAATGCATGAGTGTGAACTGCTTATATGATTAAAAGGATACTTAAATCCCTTCAAAAATAGTTTAAAAACTACCTAAATTGCTTTAGATATAGCCAAAAGGAACATCCAGCCAGTCGGTTAATGTCTTAACAGAAAAGTTAAGATGTAAATGAGGCCTTGTCAGCTAGTGAGAGCTCTGCCGGTTAGATTGGGAAAGACTGCTCACAGACTTCAAATAATTTTCAAGTTATTTGGGACACAGTACAATTTACAATCTTTGAGTGATTTTCAGAAGTTTTTGGCAAATATTTGATGGATATGTCCTTTTTAAAGGGCATCTACTAATAATCTAGATAGTGATCCCAATTTACCTAGGTAGTTAACTAAGGAGGGTAGACAAATCCTTCTAATGTTATGGCCCAGATTCAACAGTTCAAAGAAACTTTAGAAAATAAAAAAGGGGGAATAATGTCCCCAGTCCCCACATGATTCATCAAATAATACACTCATTTAAAAATTTTTAAAATGTGAATGCCAGTGAGCAATCTGCTTCAGACAGATTCTGGCATGATGGAACTTGAGCAACTATTGCTCAGGTCAAATGGAGGCATCCATGCACTAGACAATTTGGAGTTGAGGGCATGTTTGTGTTTGCTTGCAGGAAAAGAATAAAGCTTCAGCAGCTGTCAGAACATTTGGTGAGATGCATGGAACAGAGAGAAACTGGACCTGAGACCGTGGAAGCCTACCTAAGCCAGTTTGAGTGAGATCTCCTAAATCAGTGTTCCTGACCCTTGATGTCATCGAATCTACAGCCCGAGAAAGAAAGAAAACAGTTGGTTGGAGATTTCCAGTTTCTCAACAGACCTGCTGCATCAACCTCCCAGACCCATGAGTTTTCATCCCGAAGCCAACAGAGAACTGGAAGATTAACAGTCTGCTCTTGACACACTTTGAAACAACAGAATTCATTTTGCCAGTTTTTCCCTTTGGGGAAAAAAGGACCTATTTAAAATATTTAGACATTGTTATGGACTGTGATGAGTGGCAAAAGCCCCTTTTCAGTATTTGAGCAGGACATGGTCACTTGTAATATCAGCCTTGGTGATTCATGTTTCTGGAATCGTGCCTATGCCAGTGTATTTTTCTGTAGAAATGTAACTTGTCCTAATGTGACAAAGGAGACTTTGGCTCAAATCGCATATTCAGCTGAGGCTACTGAGGTTAAATCAACAAACTGCATTACCACAGGAACAAATTGGTGCTCTGTGGATAGTGCAACAAGCTTTTTCTTCATATTTCACGCTACATGTGTAACATCAATGAGTGTACCTAATGTATCTGTGCAAGTGCACTTTCTAAATGCTTTCCTGAATAGATCTTGGAACAATTGTAAACTTTATCATTGTTTTGACCATCAAATTGTAACTGTAAATTATATGCAGGTTACCCTTGTAACAGAGGAAGGCTGGTAGAATGCTATAGCCCAGATCTGATGATGGGTATGGCGATGGAGAGGCGCTATGTCAATGTGGGTCCTGGAAATGGTGTCAGTGGTGGTAGGCATTCTGGCTTTATGCTGAGTTCAAACGTGCCTTGTTCCAGAGGCAAGAGATCTGTCACCAAGTATTGCTTAGCTTAGCCCATGGCAATTCTGATAGCCATGAAGTCTGCTTACAGATGATTTAAGGATGAGGTTCTCTGATGACGGACAACCTGTGGGGAAGAGACCTCCCACCTAAGACAGGGGTTGCCAGGTCCCCTAAGGACGGGCAAGGGAGGGTGACCCTACTTGACCTAAGACAGGAGTGCCTTATTAGAAAATATAAAAGGGGGAATTGTGGGCACAACAGACCTTGGCCAGAGACCCACTTCCCCATCAGCCTGGGAGTAGGCAGCTGTAAGACAATGTTTACTAAAAACATGTTTACTAAAAACAATACAGTGCTTGGGGCAATAAGTTCCTGAAAAGGGCTCCCCCACAGGAACACCCTGACCTTGACCTTTTCCAAAGACTAACTGCCTCTTTCTGACCCACCCACCGCCACCTCTGGTGTCAGGGTATATAATAACCATCCAGGGTAGGAATAAAGGAGAGCCTTCTTGAGGAGCCTTTTAGAAGCTACCATCTCCCGATACCCTCGCCACATTCTTGGATACAGGCTGCACAGCGGGCGTGGCATATATCTAAACAATAACAAATATTGTTGATCTATCCAAACTCAGGAGCTGCAGAAGTAAAAGGATGCATTTAACTCTTAAGAGCTGCAGTTTGGAAAGAGAGCCCCATGGCTCTGAACTGGTGTTATGAACTACAGAGAGGGGCAGGGGCTATGTGATACTCAAGTATACATAGAACAGAAATGTCCATGCAGCAGAGGTCCACAGCCTCCTGATGTGCATCTGTCCAGTCGCTCAGTCACTTCAGATGTCTTTGGTCCAAGTGTGGAGGTGAGCCAGGTTCATGCTTCACCCCGCAGCTGAAACCCTGCACCAGCACTGCCCTTTTACTGGCACCCAGAGTCCACCTTGCAAAGCCTTATCAGCAATGGCTTTCATTTGGCTTCTTTCTGCCCGACATCGATCACTAAGCTCTCTTTCCTATCCCCACTCAACTCCAGTCATGGCCCCACTCTTGAAGACAAGAAGTCACTGATGTCAGGGAATGCCTTTCACATTATATCCTTGAGTGTGAGCTTCCTGAGATAACAGTGGCTTCTGCAGGAAAGGGTCATTATATGGTTTAAGGGGAAAGACTACCTGTACTCCAAATGACCAGATCCCAAATGGCGGGTGTCATTAGAGAGTTTGAATGGTTGGATAACCAGCATGGATATAGAAATAGAGCTTTTTTCCAAATATTTTATTATTTTATGTGTATGGGTGTTTTAGCCGCAAGTGTGCATATACAACATGCATGTACCTGGTGTCTACAGAGGCCAAAATTGGGCATTGAATGCCCTGGAATTGTAGTTACAGATGGTTGTGATCTACCATATGAGTGCTGAGAATCAAATCTGGGTCCTCTAAAGGAGCAGACAGTGCTCTTAACCACTGAGCCTTCTCTCTATCCCCTCCATGGAGTCTTTAAGTCAAGGAAGAGCACAGTTAGTTAAACTGACCACTAGCATTTCGGGTACTTGAAGGTGAGAAGGAAAACTGAGAACACAAGGAGAGCAAACCTTCGTCTTGGAGCAATGCATCAGACAGAACTAGAACTTTGCAGAGGTGAGCCAACGGGGCTGGTTGGAAGGCACCTCACCTAAGACAAGGATAAAACTAAAGGGATTTAATTGATTTTCAACATTTTTTAAATATTTATTTTGATTTATGTGTATGCATGCCAAGTCTTTGGAAGCCAGAAGAGGAGGGCATCAGTTGGGAACTGTCTGACATGGGTGTTGAGAATTTAACATGGGTCTTCTAGAAGAGCAGTAAGCAAAAACTGATGAGCCATCTCTCTAGTACCTTCCCCAACACACACACACACACACACACACACACACACACACACACGCACACACACACACCACACACACACATACACACACACATACACACATACACACTCACACACACACATACACACACATACACACATACACACTCACACACACATACACACATACACACTCACACACACACATACACACACACATACACACATACACACTCACACACACACATACACACATACACACTCACACACACACACAAACACATACACACACACAAACACACACAAACACACACACGCACGCACGCACGCACACACTTACTTACTTAGTCACTTACTTTTGTCGTTGATGAGACAGGGTCTCACAATTGTGCCCAGACTGGCTTCAAACTCAGAGACCTACAATGCTTCTGTCTCCTGAGAGCTGAGATTGAACATATGTGCCACCATTCCTGAATGGTGCCCCCACTTTTGAAACAGGGTCTCATGTAGCTTATGCTGGCCTCAAACACACTACATAGTTAGTTAAGGATAATACTGAACTTCTGATCCTCGTGCCTCTGCATGCTGGGACAGTAGGTGTGCACTGCCACACCCACTCCTGAGATAACAGCCATCCATCCCCCTCTGTGGGAAAGGTTTGCTACATAATTGGGCCTATTTCGTATTTTAGAATTGGCCAATACTTTATCCCATAAGCACAGAATAAGTGTTCCCATGGGCTGAGTGGAGGAGGTTGATTTTACAGAAGAAAGAAGCAACAAAGGAAAAGACAAGCCAGTTATTTCAAAGTTGATTTCTTCATAAGATAGGGGCAGGGAGGAAGAACTGTGAGAGAATGCCTCGTTTACGTCAGGATACTTTTTAGGGTAAGAATGGAGACAGCTCTCAAGCGAATCAACCCTGGAAGCAGCTTGGTCTTGGGTTTCTGGCTGCTAGAAGTAACAGAACAGTTTTCATGTTGTCTTACCATTAAGTTTGGTGTCTTACTGTGGCAGCCTTAGCAGGGTACCCATCAACAAAACAACTGACTGTTAGAATAAACCTCAGAAAAATGCTGAAAGTTCCCACAAAACACTGCATGTCTCATGTGTCTATTCAGATATGCCACAATAGACAAAACTAACAGTTCATGAAGAAAATCTGAGCTCCAAAAGATGGTAAAGACTGACAACAAAGGGGCATGTGGAAACCTTCTGGGCGCAATATTTTAAAAGGAAGATCACACAGGTATATGCACTTGTGCTTCTGAGAAGGACAAGACCAAACCGAGATATACATGAAGAAATATACTGCCAGGAACCAGTGTGCATGCAGTGTGGACTTGTGAGGCAAGTATGGAATCTGTAGACCAGTTTAAGGAAGAACTGTTAATAAATTAGTTCCCGATGGGTACTGGTGGTGTACACCTTTAATCCCAGCACTCAGGAGTTTGAGGCCAGCCTGGTCTGCAAAGTGAGTTCCAGGACAGCCAAGACTGTTACACAGAGAAACCCTATCTCGAAAGAAAAAATTAATTCCCTCTCAAGAAATTAAATAGCATTACCACATGCAATTCTACTCATAGGTATATATTCAAAAGAACTGAAACCACTTATTCACCAAAAAATTGTATCCATGAATATTCATAGCAGCATTATTTATAAGGCCAAAACACAAGTGACCTAAATACTTAACTGAAAAATTGATGATTAAATTGCAGTATTTGTATACAATAGTTATTCAGTCACGGAAATGAATGAGGTACTGATTCATGCTACACTGTGGATTAGCCTTGGAAACATGATGGGCCAGTGAGACAATCAGTGGGCAAACATAACTGCAATTGCCACCAAGCCTGACAACCTGACTTCAGTCCCTAGGACCCACATGGTAGAAGGAGAGAGCTGACTTAGGAAGGACATTATGGCACAGGCAAATAAACAGACAAATATATAGTTTTAAAAAGACATTACGTGAGTGAAAGAAGTCACACACACAAAATAAATGCTATATATTGTATATGATTCATTACCCAGAGAAGGCAAATCCAGAGACAGAAAGTGGACCAGTGGCTGTCAGTCACTGCTACAGGTGGGGCCATTGTGTTGTATGTGTTGGACTATATGTGTCTATGTACTTCTTAGTGTAGTTGTGTGGACTTACTTACGGGTATGGGTACAGGTGCATTTGTGAGGAAGCTAAAGGCAGACATCAGTGTCTTTCCTTAATTGCTCTCCGTAAGCTTTTGAGACGAGGCATCTCACTGAACGAGAAGTTCGTCAATCTGGGCAGGCTGGCTGGCCAATGAACTTCAAGGGTCTGCTTATCTCTGCTCCCTGCCTCCTCTGCTGCTCCGAGTGGTGGAGCCCCTGGCATGAGCTGCCATCTTAGCTTTGTGTGTGTTCCAGGGATCTGAATGCAGTTCTTCATGTTGTAGGGCAGGCACTTTACCAGCTGAGCCATCTCTCTGGCCCCAAATTACTACTTCTTTATTCAGCCCTTTTTAAAAGTTGTTTTCTTTAAAAACATATTTATTATGTATACAGTGGTCTGCCTGTATGTACACCTGCAGACCAGAAGAGGGCACCAGATCTCATTATGGATGATTGTGAGCCACCATGTGGTTGCGGGGAATTGAACTCAGGACCTCTGGAAAAGTAATCGATACTCTTAACCTCTGAACCATCTCTCCAGCCTGTAAAAGTGCTACTTCTTATGAAGTCTCTTTCTGAACTGATGGAAACACTGAAATTAGCAATGTTTGCATGAGTTTTGTAAATATACTGAAATCTACTGCTCTGCTTCTGAGGGTAAGTTTTATGCTGTGACTTATCTCCCAATACAAAATCCTGTCTACTGTCCTTGAACTAGTCTAGTGCCTTGCATTTTTCTCAGAAAGACTTTACTTATTAAAGTAAACCATAAACTGAGTGGACTCTCCCCCATTAACTCTTTGAGAATATTTGGAGTGTGAAAACCTCAAGCAGCCCATGAGTATCCATGCCGAGGCTCATGAAGCCTTTCTTCATTAAGTCAAAAGTAGTACCCAACAACCCACCCTTGGCCCCACACCCAGTACCTGCCACCCTCGCCCCAGAGGTAATCATTGCTCCAACTGCTCTCACTATACACCAATTTGGTACAGCATCCTGCATCCTGATTCTTGGGATGATTCTCACATTCCTGCTGTCACACACACCCAGAGCTTGTCTATCCACTACTGTTTCATAGTTCAACGCAGGAAAATAGTACAATTATCCACTCCACTCATTTTTTAAAATTTTTGTGACAAGGTCTCTCAATCTTTTCTGTAATCAAAAATGACCTTGAGTTTCTGACCCTCCTCTCCCACCTCTGCTGGGATTCCAAGCCTGTAACATTATCCCTGGTTTATGTGGTGCTGGGGACAGAACCCAGGGCTTCATGTTTGTTAGGTAGGCACTCTATCAAGTGAGCTACATCCACAGCCTGTATCCATCCACTCTTGGTGGGCTTTTCCATTATTCCCATTATTCCCAGTTTAGGGATAATGAGAATAGAAATGGCTTTTTTTCATAGCTAGGGCCTTGTATGCTAGGGAGACACTCTATCATTGAGTTATATTTCTAATCCCTAAACTCCCTCCCCCTCCTCTTTTTCTCTCACGTGTGTGTGTTCACTATTCTCAATCTTTTTTTTAAGGCAAGGTCTCTCCCTGAACCTGGAGCTTACCAGTTTAGCTAGATTGTCAGGACAGCAAGTCCCAGGGATTCTCCTGTGTCTGGCTCTCCAGTGCTAGGCTCACAGGCATGCACTGCCATGACTGCTTTTTACATGCATCCCAAACTCAGACCCTCATGTTTGTGAGGCAAGCAGTTTCCCAAATGATCCATCTCCTCAGCCCTTTCAAATACTTCTCACATTAATATCACTGCTAAATGAGAAAGAATTACCATCCCATCCAGCCAGTGAAAATAAGTATCCAGATTTATGCTGGGGATCACCAAGGACTTCATGCATGTTTCAGGGAAGTGTCTAAAAAGGACCCAGCACACCCTTCTGCTACTAAGCTAACACAGGTGTGTGGTTCCAATCAAACCACTGAGTCAGCCTCCAGGAGTAGGGCCTGATCCGCTTAGACTCCTGAAGAAGCAATTTGAAAATCTTGGGCTGATCTTGTGTACTGCCATCTAAATGTTGAGCAATAGATTAGAGAGTAAAAAGTAAAGGCATTCAGTCAGCCCATGATCTCATATTTCAGTTTCCTGAGGTATTCTGAAGAACAGCTGTTCTTGTTTTTTATCTTATTTCACAAGACCTAAATATTAGGCCAAGCCTACGTACCCTCAGTTTTGACCTTGACTCTCATGAGGCTTTCTGTTTCCTCAGCTGAGGAGGGAGGACTTTGAACTCCAGCCTCCTGGGTTTTAACTGCTTGTGAGGCTTCCTGACAGAGGTTCCTGTGGGCCAACAATGTGCTGTGTGATGTCACTGGGATCTGAGAGGCAGCCTGTGGAGGCATGTTGAGCACTCTGCTACTGCAAGGCAACACAGCATGATCCAAGCACCATTAGAAAAAGTCTATCTTTTCTTTATTCACAGACCTGACTTCACTTATGACGCTACTTGGCAAATAACTTGCTTTCAAAGCTGCTAAAATGGTAACCTCGTTGACAGGTAAGGGCATGGCACTTGGGAGAGATACTCAGGCAGTTCAGGCGTCTAGGTCAATAAGAGCAGTGATCTCCTTGACATGGTTAGTGTAGATTCTAGGGAGCAGTACTGAGGTGGACTGGTTATCACAGAAGGTGGTCACTTCAGGAAGAAACTGTGTAGGCCCAGCTCCTGAATGATTACCTGTGATATACTAATGTGTGCTTATTGTTTATTTTAAAACAATAATGGAGAGGAAAGCCTTTACAGTATGAGAAGGTTGCAGGTTCTGTCTAGAGAATAGTATTTTTCAGAAAAATTCGTCATGACATCAATCTAAAGCAAGGTCTTATGTCTACGTGGGAAGGGATGTGCGCCCACATGCATCTTTACTCGGGTGTCTTCCCCAATCCCATCATCTTATTTCTAAATTCCTTAAAATGTATTTTAAGGGAGTTAGAGTTTATTTTAGCTTATGGTATGAGAGCGAGATCCATCTTGATGGGGAAAGCACCAAAGCACAGTGGCAGGGGAGGGAGGTGGCTGGTCACACGATGTTCACAGTCAAGGCGTAGAATGAACTCCAATGCTCAGGCAGAGGGCTTTTTCTTTCTCATCCACTGAGGACCCCAGCCTATAGAATTGTGTTCCCATCTCAGTTCACCTAATCTAGATAATCCCTCACAGAAGCAGAGAGGCTTTTTTCTCTAGTGGCCCTAGATCTTGTAGAGCTGATAATATTAACCATATGGGAAAGGGAACTCTATCAAGGCCCCTTTAATAAAGTATGCTGATAGCTGGGCGGTGGTGGTCCATGCCTTTCATCCCAGCACTCGGGAGGCAGAGGCAGGTGGATCTGAGTTCGAGGCCAGCCTGGGCTACAGAGTGAGTTCCAGGAGAGCCAGGGCTACACAGAGAAACCTGTCTTTAAATACACACACACACACACACACACACACACACACACACGGTATGAAATAATAAAGTATGCTGACAAAGGTCTTGGGTTGGTGTTAACACTTTATAATGGCTGGGGAAAATTTCACTATATACACATACATGCACACAACACACACACACACACACATACACACACACACATTAATCCTTTGGCAGTTTCAAGTATGTCTATGATGAATTTTAGTTATTTTCCTTTCCATCAAACTCTTTCATCCTCCCTCCCCTCCTATGAAACCCTTCCTCTTTGTAACAAGTTTCTGTTCTTGCAATCTGGTTGTGTGTGTGTGTGTGTGTGTGTGTGTGTGTGTGTGTGTGCGTGTGCGTGTGTCACCCACTGAGTTTAATTAAGGCTGCTTGAATGAACATGAGTGGGAGATGATTTTATGGCCAGATCCCTTGTTTCCTGGGACAAGGCTCACTGAACCTGCAGCTCACTGATGGTAGACTGGCTGGGCAACACGCTCCATGGATCTTCCTCTCTCCAACTCTGGTATCACCATTACAAGTGGGTGCTGTTGCACCCAGCCTCTCTCTCTCTCTCTCCATTTCTTTATTTATTTTAAAGGTTTATTTTATGCATATAATTGTTTTGCCTGCATGTACGTATATCAATTATGCCTAGTACCTTAAGAGGCCAAAAGAGGGCATTAGATCCCCTTGAACTGAAATTACAGATGACTGTGAGCTGCAATGTGGGCTCCAGGAACCAAATCCAGGTCCTCAGCAAGAGCAGCAAATGTTCCTAATGGCTGAGCGACACTCTAGCTCTGATGCACCTGGCTCACATGGGTGCTAGGGAGTGAGCTTGAGGCCTCACGCTTGCAAAGAAGCACTCTAGCACTCTACCCACTAAGGCATCTCCCTATCCCTAAGGAATGAGAGAGAGGGGGAGGGAGGGAGGGAGGGAGAGAGAGGAGAGAGAGAGAGAGAGAGAGAGAGAGAGAGAGAGAGAGAGAGAGAAGGAGGAAGGGAAGGAGAGAGAGAGGGGAAGGAGGAAAGGAGGGAGGGAGAAAGAGAGGGGAAGGAGGAAAGGAGGGAGGGAGAGAGAGAGGGAGGGAGGGAGAGAGAGAGGGGAAGGAGAAAAGGAGTGAGGAAGAGAGAGGGGGAGGGAGAGAGAATGGGAGAGAGAGGGGGGAGAGAGAGGGAGGGAGGGAGGGAGGGAGGGAAGAAGAGAGGGACAGAGAGAGGGAGGGAGAGAGAGGGAGAGAGGGAGAGAGGAAGGGAGGGGAGAGGGAGAGAGGGAGGAAGAGAGAGGGAGAGAGGGAGGGGGGAAGAGAGGGAGAGAGGGAGGGAGAGAGAGAGAAACAGAGACAGAGAGAGAGAGAGAGAGAGAGAGAGAGAGAGAGAGAGAGAGAGAGAGAGAGAGAGAGAGAGAGAGAGCATGAATTTCAGCACACACACTATGGCAGCTGTATTAAGGCCAGGGGACAATGTGGGGCATTAGTCCTTGCCTTCAACCTTGTTTGATGGTTCATCACTGCATATGCTGGCGTAGCTGAGCTTTCCAGGATTCTCCTGTTTCTGCTCCATCTCTTCACAAGTACACTGAGATTATGTGTGTGCAGTACAGAGTCAAACTCAGACCTCATGATTGAACAGCAAGTGATTTGCCCACTCCTCAGTCCAAGTCTCACATTTTAAAGCAAAACCAACAGGCATATAAATCAACAGGTATAGATCCAGATTTATGATTTGTGGCATTTATACATGTGCGTGCGTGGGTGCATGCGTGTGTGCATGCGTGTCTTCCTTTTGTTTGTTTTTCCTTGTTGGCATTTATAATTCACATGTATCCCACTGAAGAAGGAGGAGGTGGAAAAAGAGGATGAGGACATGGAAAATGCTTTTTCTGACAGTTGGAAACATGTTTATTCTGCTCTTGAACCTGATTAAGTTTTGACTAGTTGTGGAAATGTAGGTTTGATGTCATCTAATTACGATTGACAGCCATTTCTCTACAGTCTTTCTGAATTTAGTGCTGCCTCTGAGTTTCACGTCATCCTTTGTAAATGTCAGCCATCCTGGGACGTTTCCCCGTTTGCTGCCCTGGCAGCTCTGTGCTTTGGTGATGCGATCACCTCCTCCCTCCACTTCTCCCACAGTTTTCTGGAGATCATTGCCAGTTAGACGCTGCTGGAAGAGTGGCCCGTCTCAGATTGTCCTTACTCTATCGCTTTGCTGTACTTTCCAGAGTGTTTCCAATCTTCTGCTGATTTTGCTAACTGTGGCAGGCACATTTTAAATTTCAACTGTCCCTTTTTGTTCTCTGCTATCCTTTCTCTGGTTCTTTGAGTATGCTATCCTTGTTTTCTCAATTTCAGTATTTTGCAAATTTTGGGCTGTTCCTATTTTGTGGCTCTCCACACTTCTTTCCCCTTTTTGAAGGGTTTCCTCAGATGCCTTGGTCAAGCCTTGGCATCTGCATCAGTCCACGTGGACAAAAAGAACAAAGCAGACAGAGTGCCGGGCTAACGCCAGGGACTAACAGCCAGAAGCACAAGTCTCAGGCGCTGGCAGGGTGGCTTCCACGTAGTCTCTCTTCTTGACACACACGTGATCCCATTCTTGACAAACCCTCACACCCCCTTTTCTCTGTGCATGCTTCCTGACTATCTTACATGGTCACCAATCCTACAGAGTTAGGATCTGTCCTATGAGCTAGTTTAACTTCAATCACCTCCATAAAGGAGGTTAAAATTAAAAGATTAAAAATGACTTCTTTCACAAAAATGGTCAAATTGTGGCTAATGATTTGACATAATTTTGGAGAGTTGTGGTTCAATCCATATCAGCATTCCATTACAATTGAAAAGCAGGGCAAACAATTGTTGGGCAGTTTGAGCATTGAAACAGGCATCAACAGAGGAACTGGCATGTGTGGGAAGCTCTAACCCAGTGGTTTTCAACCTGTGGGTCACAACTCCTTTGGGGGTTGCATATCAGATACCCTGCATATCAGATTTTACATTACAATTCATGAGCTGTAACTCAAAATTATAGTTATGAAGTAGCAATGAAATAATTTGATGGTTGGGGTCACCGTAACATGAAACTGTATTAAAGGTCACAGCATTAGGAAGGTTGGTTAAGAGCCACTGCACTAGAGCCTTGGCTTGGTGGCCCATCTCCTTTTCTAGAGTAGTTTTCCCTTCTCCCACTCCAGCCACAGCAGCCTTGATGTTGCCATTGTGTGTGTGTGTGTGTGTGTGTGTGTGTGTGTGTGTGTATGTGTGTATTTTGGTGGGCTGGAAGGCTCTGGGTAGTGCCTAAATCCCACACCCAGATGCTTTAAATGTCTCTCAATTCCAGCCCTCGGTTTCCCTTTATCCTGCCCGGCTTTCTGTGCACTGGGGGTGAAGAGAACCCCTCTTCTGATTACACATGTGTACACTTGCCAAAGCCCTGCTCACTCCTAGCCCTGAGCTGCTCAATAGCAGCTCAACTTGTTTCTGCATCACAGTCCCTCATTTCCCACTTCCAAATCATGAGCACATGGCCTATAGCCTCGTCTTGAAAGTACTGTTAAAAATCTCATGTGATTGGCTCTGGATGTGGTTCCATTCGTAGACTGTTTTTGTAGCATACACAAACCCCTGGGTTTAGTCCCAGTACCGTTAAAAAAAACAGGCATGATAAACCAGACCTGTGATCATCTCAGCACTCAGAATAATCAGAAGCTCAAGGTCATCCTTGCTTACAAAGTGAGTTTGAAGTCAACATGGGATACATAAGACTGTGTCTAAAATAAAACAAAACAAAGCAAAGCAAAAATAAAAAAAAGCTCATTTGCGTTCATGGCCT